GCTAGTCATCATCATAGCTCTAAATATGGCAGTAGTTCAGTAAAAGAATAAACAAGGTGGTATAGCTTGACATGCGATACATACCTCCAAATACGATCCCTGTGTGGTCTTGTGGTCCCAGACTTACAGATGTGCTGGTCAGTGGATTGCGGTCTAGTGTTCCAAAAACTTCATAACCGCGCGTCTGTGGTGTAACTCTGTACAAAAACCAGTGACACACGGAATGAGGACCGATTCTTCCAACGCCAGTTAAATATCAGAGGAACAACTTGGAATATTTGAGAATGACTGCACGGTTGGTGCGGTCGCTTGGCCGCCAGCTGCCAAACAACGTGTTAGCGGTCTGGGTGTTATGTGTATATGAACTTATATTTATACTTTGTTTGTAAACGCTTTTACGGTTAAGAATTATCCGTTAATTGAAAAATCGGCCTTAAGTTAGGCAAAAAAGCAATCGGCGCCGCCCTCGACACCTGAAACACCCGAGGCGTTACAAGTGCGTTATGGGATTTTTTGGGAATTAGGAATGTGAGGATTATGGGGAATTCCCCACAATTAGGCCATTAGCACATTAGGGGGCAATGAGGCCTCCAGTAACCCCACTCACACGACGAAACACAACGGAAGTGTTGCTTCACGTCGGTTATCTGCTCGGCCGTGATATCACTCCGGTCGAGCCAGCCCATTCGCGTCGACGCATGGCGCCACCACGAGTAAAATAATACTTTAGAAATACGTACCTGTCTGCTGCAGCAGCAGATAATTGGTAGTCCGTAGGTGGTAAAAGATACACAGAAGGAGTCAATGGACCTTCTCTGTGTACTGAAGTAGCAGAATTCTTCATCTGTTGTTTTTGAGCCCACAATTGCGATTTGTACAGAGGACGTAGTGACTGTGGCACTGTTTAAATGAGTTTTTTGATTAGTACTATTAACAATATGTCGCGGTGGCCCGGAGGTTCAAGACACTCGCATTCTCATGCATTACAGAGTGGGCTCGAAATCCGGCAAGTAAGTACCAATGTGACTTTTTCCGAGTTATATGTAGTACTTGCTAAGATTATTTAGACACCACTGACAAACGGTGAAGGAAAACATCGTAAGGAAACTTGAGCTTATAATGTCTAATTATAAGTTTTTAAATCGCCAACCTGCATTGAGCTATCGTGGTGATTAATGCTCTTCTTCGTGTGAGAAGAGGCCTTTGGTCAGCAGTGGGTACTTCTAGGCTGTTGATGAGACTGTGACTACCTCATTACATGGGTCGTTAGCTATCAGATCACCATAGAAGGCGCCTAGCGGGGCCGACGCTCGGCCGGAGCTGCTAACCATCGTGCAGGTTGTATTAAGCTTGCCCTGTTTGTTTGTTTGGATTAATTGGAATATCGAACCCTTGCTGAGAACAGATCGATCTGATATTTGGTACACACTTTTAACATTGATGACAATACAATATAAATTAATCAAATTTTTCCCACAACTACCTCCATTATGGATATCAAACGAATGTGGCTTTATGAATGATAAATGAATGAATGAATGAGTAGAGCTCACTAAAACCGTTCAATATAAAAATATTTTTTAATGTAATACTTACTGGCAGTAAGCCCGGCCCAGACCGACTTCGTAGTCCACCTCTGAACAGGCGTAGTGGCGGTCGCTTGGCTGAACCAGTTTACAAAATTATCCACGTTTTTCCCTGACAACGGAACACCGGATTCAAAATTAGGTTTTTGGACATTACGCACTAAATACTTTGAAAGTTGTTTTGTAGTTCTCGAAGTTGAAGGTAAAGTTGTCAAAAGAGGATACCTTGAAGCCAAAGGTATAATTGTGAAAAGACCTGGTGGCTTATTACTTTGGCTGATGAACCCTAAATACTTATTGAAATCGTCTATTAAACTTCGTGTCAATTTGCCAAAAGTTGGTGGTGTTACAACCAAATCAAATGAGTCGTTTCGTGTCTGCACCGGGTATCCAGGGTAGTCGGAGCTGATGGTGGAGGGCGGTGCTTCTTCTGCCTCGTCTTTTGTCATAATGCCAAAGTTTGGCGGCGTTATTGCTATATCGAAAGTCTGGTTTCGGGTGGTTGGGGGTTCCGTGGTATCAGGATAGAGTATGGGGTTAAAAGGAGGAGGTTCGTAGGGGTATCCAGGGTAGTTAGTGTTAAAGGTGTAGGGCGGCACTGTGGTCGGTGGCGTCAGATCAGTCATCTCTTCTTCTATATATTCTTCTTCGGTAGTACGGGGTGTTGTCGATATTGTTGGCAAAAAAGTAGATGTCACATCCTCATGTGTTACGCCTTCTACTCCGGTCTCGCCCCAAAACATATCTGTGACGTCATAACTTAGAAAATTACTGTCTTCTGGGATCGGAGCGTTTTCATAATCGATTTGTGATCTGAGAATCTTCCTCTCTTTCCTTATCTCTGTCTGTACTCCACGGAGGAGGGTGTCGATTTCCTTTAGTGATTTGTGTAGGTTTCTTGTCAGGATTGTGTGGTTTAAGATTTCTGGAAGGAAATTAGAATTCAATTTATGATTTCTTTTTTAATTCCGTTGTAGCAGTCAATTTCAACTTTACAACTTACTTTTTTGATGGTGCAATATTAGTCAATGACTTCTTATCGCCTATGGTGAAGCGAGAGAGAGTGTCAGACTCTTACTGACTAAACACCACCCCGTTCCTACTCCTGCATAGAGCCGGAGTCCTGGTGACAAGCTAGTGTCTGCAGCTCCAGGTGTAAGTGTTACACTACAGTATCTGCTTACCACCAGGCAGACATATTTATAAAAAAGATACACGACAAAGTAATGAAATAATACAAATTGTAATATGCTTACTCTTATGGACAACTTTACAGACGAACAATTCATAATTTAGAAATAGCGTTATTAATATTACTTTCATAGCGAATTATACACTCTAACGTTAATTATGAACCATTTTATGTCTTTATTTTAATCGTAACGACTGAGAATCTATTTTCTATTTGGTTATAGCATAATACAATTTTGTTATTCAAGTCGATTGAACTTAAAACAATCTGCACACTTCTATAATTTTATGAGCTGTTTTTTTAATAAAACCTACTGTTTTGTAATATATATTTTAAGGTTGGCAACACTTCGCTGTTGCAAGTGACTGTGGTTTAAAAAGTCGTTATTTCAAAAGAAGATTGGTTTAAAATTAAGTAAAGTTGATGATTATTAGCTTGTTAAAAAACAGTAACAATTCCAATGTTTATTGTCAATAAAATAGTTGTAATAATTTTATTGGATTACAAATATAAAAATAGTTGCTCACGCAATGTATAACTAGTTTTATGATACAATAAAATGTTAGCATTTTTATATTAAAATGAAAGTGTGCGCTTGTGTTCTGCTGTTCACCATACTCGGTATTTATTTTGTCTTTGTTGCAATACAAATTTTTCATTGAATTTCTTTTATAAAATGAGTTATTATTTACCTACACTTTTTTATCCAAAGTAAAATATACCAATAACACATTTATAATATATTTGCAATTTGTAAGCATGCGTGCGTGTATGCAATTATGCATCCTAGCTTATAACGGCCACTTTATAAAATGTATGCCTTCAGTGCAAAGCTCCGACTTTTTGATAATTTTAAATTACTATATGTACTAACTTAGAAATTAAAATAACATATCTTCATGCAAGTGTTATAAATTACAAAAACAAATGGAATTTTTAAATATTTTTGTGTAATCTAAATATACGTTTAACTTACAATATGTCTAACTATACAAAACATCTCAATTCTACATTAGCTGATTACATGTGAACGATACCGTCGACGATATGTACGTGTGTCGTTAACAAGTCAACCTCGCAACCATCAGTTGACTGGACAATATGGATGAATGAATGAATGAATGAAATACGTTTATTCGGCAAAAGACATGCACGTCAGAAAAAATAACTTATACATTGTGACATATAACAATAAAGAGATTTAAAAACAGACATATAAAGAAAAAAAGACAATAGGTACATTATAAAACTAAAACAAGCCAACAATACAGGTGCAACATACTGCGCGGTGTTGGCGGACATGACCAATCCGAACGGGTCGCCAATTCTTCATATTACCAGATGAAGAAACAGATAATAACAATATTACCAAAATAAATTTAAAATATTGTACTGTTAAATAAATAATCATCAAATTTAAAAAACCACAGATTTTATTATATGCAAAAAGAAACTGTCAAGAATAATTATGTAAATATATCAACGTGCTATAATTTAATCATAACAACATCAGAACCTTACTTTTAAAAGAATAATAACGTCTAGGCAAAACCACAAAGTATGTATAACCGAATCATACAACTCTTTCTTCATTAGGAAATTCCAGTGCTATGTTTTCCTCACGCTTTACGATAAAATAAATAAAAAGCTTAACCTTTATCCATTAAGTTGATATTATTGCAAAGAAGGTCTAACAGTCCGGTTAAAAAACAGAACTATGAAGATATTTAAAATTAGTTTGTTGTTTTACAGTTGTTTAACCAAATTGAAAATATATAAATTTAATAATAATACCTCGATACAGTAATAATGAAGGAACAAAAATAATCTAGTGTGTTGTTGTTTCCAATCTTAGTCGCCAGTGTAAGTATTACTAGTGTAAACGATCTCATAATTAAAAGGAAACATTTTTACTAAATTATATATTCATCAACAGCCTATAAATGGCAACTGCTGAGCAAAGCCTCTTCTCACACGGAGAAGGTTTGAGCATTAATCATCGCGCTTGCTCAATGCGGGTTGGCGATTTCAAACCAATAATTAGAAATTATAAGTCCAGATTTCCTCACGATGTTTTCCTTCACCGTTTGTCAGTGGTGTCTAAATAATCTTAGAAAGTAGGTACATACCTCTATAACTCGGAAAAGTCACATTGGTACTTGCTGTTGGTAGGTTTCGAACCCACACCCTCATGCATGAGAAGCGGTCTTAACCTCCGGGCCACCACGAGTAAATATGTTTTTCATTAGTTAAAATACGAATCGTGTTTAGTCTATTTTACAATAAACAAATCATAATTTTATAACAGATAAATCAAAAGCGCCTCTCCACATTACAATACATTTTCTGAATCCTCTATTTATTCTTTTTTTCAAAATATCCCGCGTCCTACCAGTCAATGTGATTTTTATAGATAGATACATCTTTGTGATATATTGTCTTTGTTGTTGTGGATAGATAGATATATCTGCCACAGTTAAGTATTTACACACTCTGTACCTACTTATCTACAACTGTTGCACAAGTCCACCTTCGCGTTGCACACAATTGAAGGCGCGCTTCCGAACATCATGTCCTAACATTATTTAATGTGTCGCGGAGAACCTAACGGGTAACCAGGGCTTCGGCTCGACGTGCAGGAGAAGGAACGGGGTGGTTTTTAGTCAGTAAGAGTCTGACACTCCCTCCCGCCTCACCCAGGCGGGAGCAGCCATTCGATGATTTTCCCCCCTTAAAAAAAAACATTATTTAATGTGTTCGTTTCACTTTTACTTGCCTAAATGCGCAATGCGATTTTGCGCGTGATTTAAACGGCAGCATCCCTTGTGCTCGCAAGAGGATGACGCCGAAAGAACTCTTAACACTTTCTCTTCAAGTTCGGCCGATAATGGTTTTCTCGGAATCGGTACCTACACCACAGTAGAAATAAATCGACTGTACCTACACCGCATCCAGGATGGTATGATGACTCACTCGCATATCGAACCTCTGGTATAAATTAACCGCATGAGCTGTTGTGGAGTTACACCCGCGGTAGCACTACACCATTTCAAGATATGTTGATTTGAATTTCGTCGCCTGGGAGGCATTTTTACATAGCGCGACATTTTATTTTTTTTATATTAATTTTATATTATTTACATCCCCGACACTGAAACTAACGTCTAGATAGGCGGGGTGGACTGAGCTACTGGCGGGCGGGCGGCGCGTGCGACGAGTTCTAGGGTGTGCGCGGGGGTGTGCATGTATTGGCGTGCTCCCCGCCGCCAAGCCGGCGCCACTGTCGGCGCCGAGCTGTCTCGTTCCCGAACGCCCCGTCGGCCGTCATACACTGTTGCCATTCTTCTTTCTGTTCTTTTTTCAATCAGCCATTATCTCGATAAGAATGGCAACAGTGTATGACGGGGCGCGCCCGCGTTTTGCGAATTGAATGAATTCGTTGCAGTGCGGCAACACGGGATGGTTTTATGACAATAAATCAATACAAATTAATACGTAGATTTTTTTGTATGAAAAAATAAATAACTCATAACCAATCATTTATACCTACTATTATAATCTTCAAACACAACACTACCTCCCATTAAAACCGTGGCAGATAATTACATAGCACCTTATATAAATAAATAACAAAATAAGACTGCCTCGTTGGCCAAGTGCGACTGCCGGGCAAGGTGGCAACATCACGCCTTTTATCCCCGAAGGGGAAGGTAGAGGTGCACATTACGGCAATTAATGCCACTGTACAATGTAACACCCACATTTCACTATTTGTGTTATGACTTATGAGTCCCATTTAATGTGGCAGCACTTACGACCACTCGGCCAACGAGGCAGTCAATAAGTTTATTTTTTATTAATCAGTTTTATTTGTCTTACAGCGAAGGTAGGTAGAAGTGCTGCTGACTCTCCGCCCTTGAATGATAGGGCCGTTCATTTGGCTTTAGAAACCGTCCTAGAATTTAACGACAAAGACAAAGAATCAGATCTAAAGTTTCTAGACAAAGTAAAAAGTCTAATAAACAAAGTTAAGACTGTGATTGATAAATCAGGCAG